TGCCATCTACGGTACCATGGTAGCTAGCTAGCCTACTATACTACTGTAAGTTCCGGAAGACGATGCTCCGAAATGGATTTAAAATTAATCCCTACGATCCATGTGTAGCCAACAGAATGGTACACAGCAATCAACAGACAGTCTGCTGGCATGTAGACGACTGTAAGCTCAGCCACAAGGACTCGAAGGTGAATGACCAGCTGATCCAAGTGCTTTGTGATGAATACGAAAGCATATTCGAGAACGGTACTGGAGAGATGACGGTGAGCCGAGGAAAGGTCCACACGTATCTCGGCATGACCATAGACTTCACGACGACGGGTCAATGCAATGTATCAATGTACAAGTATGTTGATGAAATCCTGGAAGCCTTCGAGAAGGCATCGCCTGAGGAAGGGGGCACGAAGACTAGAAGTAGTGCGGCCCCGAAAGACCTATTCACAGTATATGACTCCTGCGAGAAGCTCCCAACGAGCAAAGCAGAACATTTTCACAGCCTGGTGGCTAAGGTGTTGTTCGCTACGAAGAGTGCCCGACCAGACAGGTACGGCGATCTCGTTCCTCACGACTAGAGTAAAGGAACCGGATAGGCAGGATTGGGATAAACTAGTCCACCTCATGCAGTACATTAGACGTACTAGAAAGCTACCATTAGTTCTCAGAGCCGACGAAAGCGGCATATTGAAATGGTATGTGGATGGTTCTTTCGCAGTCCATCCAAACATGAGGGGTCACACCGGAGGTTGTTTGACCATGGGCACAGGTTACCCATTATCAACTTCGAAGAAACAGAAGTTGAACACGAGGAGCTCGACTGAGAGTGAACTCGTAGCAGTTGATGACCTGATGCCATCGATCCTTTGGACGAGGCAGTTCCTACGGGAGCAAGGCTATGTAGTTAAAGAAACTATAGTGCAATAGTCTATCAGGGCAACAAGAGTGCCATCCTTCTAGAGAAGAACGGCAAAGCTTCTAGTAGTAAACGAACGAAGCACACCAACATTAGGTACTTCTTTGTGAGCGACAGAGTCGCAAAGAAGGAGATCAGTGTGGACTGGTGTCCAACTGATGATATGGTTGCAGATTTCTGGACGAAGCCGAACCAAGGTCGACTGTTCAAACAGAATGTGGACAAGTTGATGGGTGTTGTAGAACACACAGAGCCAGGGCACTCAGTAGGAGGGTCACGGCCGGACAAGAAGGTCCGTTCAAAGAAGGAGCGCTAAGCGGAGTAAGTAAGTAAGCATTGTCGACGACTAGGACAAGCTCGACGACCACAGGAGTGTGTTGGGGATTCGCGATTAGGGATTGAACCTGTACCTCGGTACTAGAATTTCTACAGTAGAAATACAGAGCCCACCTACTTTTTCAGTAGTATCTCAATAGCAAGTAAACTAGAGAGCTTATAGCAACTAACATACAATTGCAAGGAAGAATTCACACCGGGACAGATGACACGGATGATGGAGCAGTGGAACACATTTCGAGCCCCATACACTAATGCACCCTCACATCAACTCTCACTTCAACCATCACAATCAAGTCAACCCTCACAATCACAACAACCCTCCCTTCAACCATCCCTTCAACCATCACTTCAACCATCACTTCAACCATCACTTCAACCATCACATCAACCGTCCGATCAACCCTCTCGTCAACCCTCTTATCAACCCTCAGCCCCGCCAACAGATCCTCCAACAATCCACCCACTCCACCACCTACGGATGCACCGACAGATGCGCCCACCCCAACTTGCTTTTCGGAGGTTGCCACAACTGTGGTCCAAGACCAGGGACCAACTTTCATGTACAAATTGCAACTCGGCGATCGCATCCTCACTGGAAGAGAGCACTATCAGCCCGTGTATGCCTTTGCCCACGGTGCCACCAGTATCTCTGCGGCAGAAACGGAATACCGTTTCCCAATCAGCCACTCAAAATCACGGGAGGCCACTTGCTGTTCTTAGTTACCATGTCCCATGCGGTACCCGCCAGCTCCATCCAACCAGGCGATCGGCTACGCAGTCCCTTGTATCCCAATCATGGTGCCACAGTGACAAAGGTCAGGACGGTTTTCCGTTCAAGCATGCACGCCCCCATGACACTCAATGGAACCCTTGTCGTTGATGGTATTGTGGCATCTTGCTACATTGCGTTGCAGCACAGTACTCCAAATGTGGAGCTGCAAGGCGGCATTTCCACAGGCCTGTCATCTCACTTTGTGGCTCATATGGCCATGACACCCGTTCAGATGATTTGTATCGGTGTCTCCCCATGGTTTTGCAGAAGCAATGATGCCGATGGACTGGCCCACTTTGCCAGAGGAGGTTTTGCGATGGCGGACTTTTGCAATTGCCAGAGTTTGCTTATCCAAGGCATGCTCTTGATTGTGTTCCTGCTTGTGTTTGGTTCCCTATTTCTCCTGGAGTCCTTGTTCGGGCCATCTCTTTCTCTTGTTGTTCTGGGAGCAACCCTTGGGGTGCTCTTGGGCTACATTGTTAGTTCCTCTCCTTCTGGAGAAACAGTGAAATCAGCAAAGGAGACGTCCACAGAATCTGCAAACAAAATTTGCAACAAAAAAGAAGATTAGGATCAGAGTCCAGGTTCGATACACGAAACTACGTACATGGGAGAATCAACATTGGCGGGGTTTAGGAGCCGGGGACAGGTTAACGTAGCGCAAGGAATGGCAAAACAAAATTAGAATCATGGCAAAACAGTGTGACTTTCTGAGGTTACTTTTGCCTGGTTGCTAGCTAGGTAGGTAGATTGGTTTGGTTTTCTCGACTTGCTGTCCATGCTCAAGCCAGATCCTCTATCCAGAAACCCTTTGTGATCATGTTGTATTGTCACCTAGGATCCCGAGGAAGAGGGGCAAGCAAGCACGACCCTTCAGCCGGAATTGGGCCGACATCATAGTCACCCATTGCATTGAGCACACCGCCAATACTGATGTAGCTGGTTGCCACCTCTGGATAATTTTTGCCCAATTTTGACAATCTAACAGCAAGGCATGCCTTGTGATTCAGTAGAGCACCTTCATAGTCACCCTTGGCATACAGTGCAGAACCAATATTGAAGTGGCTGGCCGCAGTATCAGGATGATCCTTCCCTAACACAGACTCACGAATGGCAAGAGCAGCCTTGTGATTTAAAAGTGAACTTTCGAGATCACCCTTCTTCCCCACCAGAACACCGATATTGTCATAGCTGGTTGCCACCACAGGATGATTCATGCCGTGTACAGACTCAAGAACAGCAAGAGAACGGAGGTACCATTCCAAAGCCCTTTTATAGTCACCCTTCTGCGATAAAACCGAGCCAATGTTGTTGTAGGTTGCTGCCAACGCTGGATGGTTCTCAGCTAGCACTGCCTCTTTGATTGCAATGGCTTGCTTGTGAGCTGTCAAAGCTCCGTCAGCGTTGCCCATTTTCTGTAGTACACAACCGATATTGTCATGCGTGGTCGCCACAGCAGAATGGGTTTCCACAGCAGAACCGTTCGTATTGCTCTCCAACATAGACAAGTAAATGTCAAGGGCTTGCTGAAACTTTGCCAGAGCACCTTCATGATCACCCATATTATCCAACACTGAAGCAATGTTGCTGCAGGTGTCACCAGTGTTCCGGTGATTCTTGCCCAGTGAGGTTTCACAGATTGTCAGAGCTGCCCGGAGGAGCTTCATGGCAGAATCAAGCTCACCATTATTCATAAGAATGACACCAATTTTGTTGCAAAATTCCACATAGTCTTCATTGTTGGTATTTTCTCGTGTCTCCACCAACTGTGTAAGGACACCATGCATCCACCCACGTAATAAGTCGTTCACTTGATTGTTGAGAACTGAATATGCAGTAAACCCCTCATCCCCCCTTACTTTTCTCAAAATAGCCATCCTATCACTCTCCACAGATGCCTTGGCATTTTCAACTTTTGTGTTGCCAAGTGTCTCATAGAGAGCATTGATGCCTCCTCCACTGCTGATAACATCCTGCTCCAAAGAGTGTTTCTCCTTGGGTGGCATGACAATATCCACCTTGCACCCATCTGTGGTGTGAGCTGTAAAGATCTCAAAAATACACCAGACTCGAGTGATGTAGATGGGTGCTTTCCATGGAGCCATCATGGCCAACACATGTCCAATCTTTTTGACTCGGTGTCCAAAGATATCAAAGAATTCATGGGTGGGGACCAGCACACCTGACTTGGATTTTTCTACCACCCTGTGTTGATTGACGCATAAACAGCATATCCAGATGTAAGTTCTCTTTGGATTGAGTTTTTTCTGGAGGCAAAAATCAGAAAGGGTATCCACAATGTCTCCAATCGTGTAGTCCCAGGAATAGCTGAGCATATGAGTTGCCTCTCCAACATGGTCTTTGCCTTTCAGAGAATGAACATAGGCAGAACCCTTCCTGCCATCAATCGGACAAATCGTGTCAGCACTCTGCATTCGAATGACACCCGGGGGACGTTGTAGATTCTCAATTTGGTAGATTTTGGAATCTCTGGAGAGTGGGGTTCCTGTTGTGGCAGCGTCTTTTCCCAAAACGAGGCCAGCAAAGGGTTTTCGCCGGGTGGTGCGTGCAGCGCAAACCTCTTTCTTCATAAAGAAATGCGCCAAGTGGTGAACGCTCACGCCGAGTGTATCCAGGCACTTCTTCTTGCGTGCACTAATATCGTCACCGTCGTAGGAGGGTTTCCGCAGTGGTTGAGTGTTCCCAGAGCTCATAGTATTCGTAGGTGGTGTCTCAAAGGGATGATGGCTATACCGATATCGAGGTTGTAGTGTTGCGTTTTATGGTCTTGCGGTCGCTCTGCACGCATGGGTTGACATCATGAGTGGGATGCCGCGAATATCCAAGACTCAGTTGCCCCCTCCCCCATAACTTCTTTCCCAAATGTCTGAAAACGAGATGCGTATGCCAACCCCCAGAAAATTTAGCCAATCCCCAAAAAGAGAGTACCGGTAATCAGTCGTGTATTCCCTGGATTTGCTTCAAGGTCATCGACCGATCGAGAGCATCACTCGATCGTCTTTACAGTCGTTAGTCTACTCGATCATCGTGCTCTCTTCAGTGCCCTACTACGAACATGGATGCACAAGAAACCACTCCCCTGGCAGCAACAGGAGCTGCCAAGAGTGCCAAAGTAGAAGAATCCGACTGGATTAAGGGTCTTTGTGTTGGCGGCCATAGAACGAGATCTTTTTGGGTAGCTTTGGTACTACTAGTACTTGTTCTGGCTATTACTGGTACCACTACTTTGCTAGGTGTTCTCCCGTGGAAAGTCTTTGGTTTGGTCAAGGATGTTGATTGGCTACCCAATGTGATTGTGGAAAACTATTCGTTGCCCATCAGCTTTCAACAAGAAGGCAGCAGTCCAAGGGATGCGGCCACCATCCAGCACCTGTTTGATGTGGGCTTGATGGAATGCTATGGATTTGCCTTTCCAGAAGCTCAGAGCACTGCTCGAAAAGCCCTGAAATACGCCAAGGATCCCACGGCGTGTCCCATGTGTCATTGGTTATTGGCCATGGCGCATGCTCCCTATATCAACCATCCCACTCTGTCCAAAACCGACTACCAAAACGCACAAAACGCGGCCAATGACGCCGTCCAAGCCATGCTTGACACACAGCTTAGTTTAACCCGGAAAGAACAGGGACTGATTCAAGCCATTGCCACCCGCTTCACTTCCCAACAAAATCAAACCGTGGGATACCAGCTCTATCGACGCGAAGTGGAACGCCTCTTTCAACAATTCCCCAACGATCCCGATATCATGGCATTTTTAGCCGATGCCATTATGGTATTGCACGCCAATGCCACGGGATATTACTTTTACGAACCAAACGACGACAATGGCACACCCATTCCAGATATTTCCTATGCCATGCACGTATTGTTGGAACGGTGCCTCGCCGCCCATCATCATCATCCACTGTGTCAACATCTTTACATTCACGTGACGGAACCCAGTGATCATGTCGCCCAAAAAGCCGAAACCACCGCGGATCAATTGGCCGCCGCGACGGCATTTACACAAGCCCAACATTTGCAACACATGCCTTCCCATACGTACTGGAGAATCGGACGGTATCACGATGCCGTCCAGTCCAACATTCACGCCCACGAATCGGATCAAGCGTATATCCATCATCAGCATTGGCCGTACGGGCCGGCCCACGATACGGCCTTTTTGATAGATGCGGCCATTATGAGTGGAGAACGACACGTGGCGTACGACTATGCGGAAAAATTGCGAGCGCATTATCAACAATTCCCGGATGCCCCTGATTATCCCGATGCGCAACTCGGATGGCATTCCTGGAGCACCACACGCCTGCGATGGGGAGATGCCAAGGCCGTCTTGGAGGAACACGATCCTCTGCCCCGCGACGACTGGCCGTATGCCCAAATCTTGGGGCACTATAGCAAGGGTGTCGCGTATTTGATGACGACGACCAAAGACACGCAACGTGCCAGGCAACACTTGCACGAGCTTCAAACCATTCTCGACAATTATCCACAATCGGACTACTTTCGTCAGGCCATGTTAGCCACCTGGACCTTGTCGTCGGCATTGGAATATCATCAAAAGCAGCATGATCCTGAACAAGCCCTGACACTGATCCAAATGGCTCGTCAGGAGCAGGAACAATGGGCATACACGGAACCCCCCGCCTGGCACATGCCCATTGCCCAATGCGAGGCGGATCTCTTGTTCCGCATGGAGCGTGCCCAAGACGCGGCACGAGTCTTTCAACAGGATTTGGAACGGATTCCCGAGAATCGCTTCAGTTTGTGGGGATGGTACCTAGCTGCCGCCCAACAACAACACGATGACACGAAACAGCTCGACGAGTTGAAACGACGATTCGATCAGGCATCGCAGTGGGCGGACGACACAGTAAAGGATCCCATTGTGTGTCCACTGTATTACTACGACGGGCTATGATCCAGGGAACCAGCTAACTAAAGTGTACGTGCAGGCAGACGTCTACTACTACTAGCTAGGGAGGTATCACATGAAAGCAAATATGTTTCCTGCTCTACAGTATCCTCGTTTCATGGACGACGATTTTCGGCTGTTGGGTCATTAGGGATAGATTTAGACCTGGTGCATCTTTCTTGACGGGCGTTTGTGATTGCCCAGCTCTAGCTAGTAGATTGAATTCGTCATCTGCAAATACAGTGTAGTATCTCGTCAGCACTACCTGGCCCCCCTACCAATACCGGTGGTATTATCACCGCTCTGCCTTCTGCCTGGCTTAGTCCCCCTCTACTTAGTATTGGTTTCTTACTTTAGTTTGGCCAAATGCTTTGAAATCAGCTTTACCGGTGCAGCGAGATATTGTGGATACGGGCGTGCTCGTGGAATTGAGATCAGCTTGTGCGTCGTCCTCAATCACTAGTGCACTTTGAGGTTGTGTCAAAAGTGACTCAATAGACCAGCGACGGGTCCAGTCACACTACGAGTTCTCATCCAGTCGCGGTTTCGAGTCCAGTCAGAGTCGAGTCAGTGGGATGGCGGGTCTATGGTAAGTTGAGACATGGGCACGACATGAGAACCAAGTCACAAGCAAAGAAAGCACAAGCAATCCGACAACTCACTCAGTTCTACGAAGCATACCAGGAAGAAGTCCCCGAACATTTGGAATGGCTATTCCAGATACCACTCGAATCGCGCATGCAACTGAATACACCAGTCATCATTCAATTTTTGAACACATGGGAACCTGTGTTACAAGAGAGTCACTACACCACAGCCCTGGAAACAGGATAGTCGGACATTCCCACCATCCCTTTTTCCTTACCCCTCCTACCCCCTCAAACTTCTTTACCAACCCCAACTCTCTTCAACAAAGAGCTCGTGATTTGTGGTGAATCATGGCTCCGACCTCAGTGTACAAATCCTTAGATAGCTAACAGGCGTCGCACCCTCTCAGGAGGCCAGTGTGGCCGGTGAGCAGACTTGACTGTGGGAAATACCCGAGCCTTAGCTCGTGGGTAGTCCTCAAGCACATCTCGTCTGAATCCGTTATTAGACGTTCAGTTTTTTTTTGACAAAGCACCTTCATAGTCACCCATACTATAAAGGACAGTACCAATGTTGCTGTGGGCGGTTGTCACATCGGGATGATGCTTGCCAAGTACTGACAATTAATGGCAAGAGCTTCCTTGTGCTTTGCCAAAGCACCATCATAAGCACCCATATCATCCAGGACAAGCCCAAGATTGCTGTAATTGTCTCCTGTTTTTTCGTGATTCTCACCCAACGCAGTCTATTATCCACTTTGCAACCAAACATCCTGTGAGCCGTAAAGATTTCAAATATACACCAAACTCGAGTGATGTAGATGGGTGCTTTCCATGGAGCCATCATGGCCAACAAATGTCCAAGCTTTTTGACTCGTTCTCCAAAGATGGCAAAGAAGTCCATCTTGACAGGGGCTGTCATTCCTGATTTGTGCTGAGCGGAGTTTTCTACTACCCGGTGTTGATTCACACATAGGCAGCACATCCAGATGTAAGTTCGCTTTGGATTGAGGTTGTTTTGGTGGCAGAAGTCATTCAGAGTATCCACAATATCTCCAATCGAATAATTCCACGAATAACTGAGCATGTAATTTGCCTCTCCGACATGATCCTCTCCTTGTAGAGTGTGTACATACGCAGCACCAATTTTTCCATCGATTGGGCAAACGATGTTGGCTCCCTTGGTTCGAATGAGGTCCTTTTAGGTTTTCAATATCATAAATTTTGGAAGATCTATTGAGACGAGACCAACAACAGCCATCTGAACATGCAGCTTCCTTTACTGTAGAAATACATGCTCTAAATGAAATACGCTGACACCAAGAGTGTTCAACTGGTTTTGATTGTGCGTTGCTGTTTTGGTACTACTACTTGTGGCACCATAATCAGTTTCAATCTGATCAGTTGTCAATGGCGGAAGCAGCTTAGACGACTCGGTAGCGGTATCATCACTCATGATGGGCTCTATTATTGTATCGTGTTCCCTTTACCGATGACCAATGCACTACGCTAAAAGCTAGTGTAAAGACTTTCGAGTGTTTGAGTTTGAGAGAATGAAAGTATGAGAGATGATTAGAAAGCTATGAAAACTAACAACGAGAGAGACATCATCAAAAGGGAATCGTAGATCTGGCTTCCCGCCGGGAGACTATCAAAGTGTGATAGAGTAGGTTGTTGGAGTAATCCTACAGTCTCTCCCAACGATCTCAAAACGGAGACGCGTGGAAGGTTTGTCTAGCCTGGATCTATTAGCGTGGAAGTACTTCCACGCTGGCTAAATATCTAGGAGCGATGTTTCATCATCAACCTAGTATGACTAGCGGCGGTCATTTGAGAACC